GTCCCCACAGCGCCCTCTGCGGCCGGGAGGAGCAGGCGCCGCCTGCGCTGTGGGTGCGGGAGGAGGGCCCGACCCCCGCAGGCTGTCGGGGACGGATCCTCGCCCTCTCCTGGGGTCTCCTAGGGAGGGAGACGGAGAGTGGAAATGGGGAGTCAGCTGGAAGTGCACGGGGAGGAGACTCGCTCTTCACTGGGACGGAGATGGAGAGGGAGACGGAGAGAGGGAGTGCGGGGTTTGGTTCCTCCCCAACGCTGACCCGCTCAGGTTCAAGGGGTCATCTGTGAGGCGAACCCAGGAATCAAGAGAGGGAGGTGAGACAATCAAGTGGCATTAACGAGCAGGTCCCCGCTGTGGGCAACTGGGAGTCCATCCTGCTGGGGACTCAGAGTGTGCAGACCGCCCCTCAGAACTGTCCCGCCCATGGCGAGGAGGCTGGGTGTTCGTCCTCAGGAAGTCATGCAGAGACAGCCATCTCTGACCCCAGGGACTTAAATTAGGAATATGACTCGTGGTCTGTAAAATCCAAAAAATGGTCTTATAAGCTAAATATGAAATGGATCTTAAATTTACTCTGCCTGTCACGCTTAAGCAGCTAGTGTGGTTGAACTGCTCAGATACATGTAATTGCTATCTCTACCATAAAGGTTTTCTTGAAAAAAGAAAAATATATAAATATATATAATTGAACAACTATATATATAAATTTTATAAGAAATTTCTTATAACAATATATATAAATTTCATATAAGAAATTTTATATAAATTTTATTTTCTTATATATAAAATTTGTAAGAAATTTTATAAGCAAATTTTAAAAGAAGTAAAAATTGTCCATAATTCTGGTACTCTAATGTAAATGCTCTATTTTTTCATGTAAACATCTAGTCTTTGTCCACAGACATGTACTTTTTGTGTGTGTGTGAGGAAGATTGGCCCTGAGCTAATAACATCCGTTGCCAATCTTCTTCTTTTTGCTGAGGAAGATTGGCCCTGAGCCAACTTCTGTGCCCATCTTCCTCTATTTTGTGTGCTTCCTCAACAGCATGGCTTGATGAGCAGTGCACACGTTCGTGCCTGAGATCCAAAACTTCGAACCTGGGCCCGGAAGCAGAGAGCGCGAACCCCAACCACTACACCATTGGGCTGGCCCCCACAGACACGTACTTTCTGTATGGTTCTGAGACACATCATTTTATCTGTCTCTTTTGTTTTTCACTTACCATATCAAAGTTTTCCATGTTTCTCATAATCTCATAATTATATGCTTAACTGGTTGTAATTTAAGATAGTGTATTAAGCTGCTAGAGCTGCCATAACAAAGGACCACAAACTGGGCAGGTCAAATGACAGAAATTAATTCTCTCACAGTTCTAGAGGCCAGAAGTCCGAGATCAATTTGTCAGCAGGGTTGGTTTCCTCTGAGGACTCTCCTTGGCTTGCAGATGGTGAACTTCTTCCTGTGTCCGTCTATGGTCATCCCTCGGTCTGGGTGTTCTGTGTCCTAATCTCTTCTTATAAGGACACCAGTCATATTGCATTAGGGCCCACTCATATGACCTCCTTTTACCGTAATTATCCCTTTAAAGATCATATCTCCAAATACAGTTGCATTCTGAGGTACCGCAGCGTTAGGACTTAGATGAATTTTGGAAGAACACAATTCAGCCCATAACAACAGGTAGGGTGGTATGAAATATTTAAGGGTGGTTAAAAAAAACTGTGGCCATAAATAATGCTGCTGGAGGGGCCGGCCCGGTGGTACAAGTGGTTAAGTGCATGTGCTCTGCTGCGGCAGCCTGGGGTTTGCAGGTTTGGATCCCAGGCGTGCACCGACGCACCGCTTGGCAAGCCATGCTGTGGCGGCGTCCCATATAAAGTGGAGGAAGATAGGCACGGATGTTAGCCCAGGGCCAGTCTTCCTCAGCAAAAAAAAAAAAAAAAAGAAGAGGATTGGCAGACGTTAGCACAGGGCTGATCTTCCTCCCAAAAAAAATTAAAAGAAAAAAAAATAATGCTGCTGGAATACTTTCATACACATAGTCTTAAGATACAAAAAGTACAAAGTGCAAAGGACAGACCAATAAATTAAATTAGATTAAGATTTAAAACTGTTTTTTCCATCAAAAGACACAATAGAATAGCCAAAACTAGGTCACAGATTGGGAAAAGATATTTACAACAAAGAACTGCATCCAGAGAATATAAATGACTTGTAAAAATCAAAGACTACCAAGACTACCTAAGAGGAAGATGTGCAAAATTATGAACAGTGAATTCACAGAAAGGGGGGAAAAATCAATAGGCAATAAACACAGAAAAATGTTCCATCTCATTGTTGGTCAGGGAAATGCAATATCTGCTTAGGAAGGTGTGCATACTTCATCATCCAGCAATTCTTACCTTGGAGCTATTTTTGCACATTTACACAGGAGACATATTCAAGAATATAGCAGCTTTGTTTTAAGAGTAAAAATAGGAAAGCAATATAAATGTCTATCACCAAAAGGATGGATAGCTGGTGGGTTTTCTTCTCCGTACATTGAAAACTAGCAGCAAAAACTAATGAATTATAGCTAAATACAGCATGAATGAATAGCATTAACATAATGTTGAGTGAAAAGCATGTTGCAGATTGTATACAGTATGGTGCCATTTATAGAAACTTTACAACATATAAAATAGCACTACATATTATTTAGAAGTAATACACATGTAGGAAAAGTATAATGACATGTATAGGAATAAACACCCAATTTGGGATAGTGGTTATCACTGGGAACTAGGGTGGGGAAGGGATGGTGAAGAGAGGATTGAAACCAGAGCCACTTACACGAGTGCTCCATGAGCATTGCTAAAGCCTTATTACTCAGGCTGAACCAAGGGCACACAGGTGGACATTCTTTACACCTTTCGAATATATATATATTTTTTGGTGAGGAAGACTGGCCCTGAGCTAACACCTGTTGCCAATCTTCCTCTTTTTGCTTGAGGAAGATGGTCCCTGAGCTAACATCTGTGCCAATCTTCCTCTATTTTGTATGTGGGACGCCACCACAGCATGGCTTGATGAGCAGTGTGTAGGTCCACGCCCAGGATCTGAACCTGCAAACCCCATGCTGCTGAAGTGGAGCATGTGAACTTAACCACTACACCACCTAGCGGCCCCTTGAATATTTTGAATGTTGCAAGATACATTTAAATAAATTAATCAAGTCATCACTGCATATTTGCCATCTTGTGGGGAGGGACACAGGCTTGTAAAAAAACAATGTCAAAATAATATTCAGTAATTGCTATTAACAGAGGAAAGTATGCAGTGCTATGGCAGCATCAGAGAAAGGGTTAGCTAGCTATCTCAGGAGGAAGAGTTCAATGAAAACTCCCTTTGTCCTAGCTTTTTGAGTTGACTATGAAACTAATTTTTTCACTATATATTTTTAAATATATGTGTACAAACACACATATGATTTACCACTAAGTGTCATTCTAACTTCATCTCACAAATTTGATATATAGAACTTTCATTGTTGTTCAGTTCTAAAATTGCATTGTGATTTCCTCTTTAACCTATGAGTTCCTTAGGAGTATATTTTTGAAGTTTCCAAGCTTAGGAAGTTTTGTTTGTAGTTTAAAGTTTTATTTTCTTGCTTATTTCTAAGTTAACACAGCATGGTAGGAGAAACTTGATCACGATGAAATGGATTTTTAAAAATTTATTGAGACTTCATTGTGACCTATCACATAGTTAATTTTTTTGTGTGTGTGAGGAGGATCAGCCCTGAGCCAACATCCATGCCAATCCTCCTCTTTTTGCTGAGCAAGACTGGCCCTGGGCTAACATCTGTGCCCATCTTCCTCTACTTTACACGGGACGCCACCACAGCATGGCCTGTCAAGCGGTGCATCAGTGGGCGCCTGGGATCCGAACCTGGGCCACCAGCAGCAGAGCATGCGCACCTAACCGCTAAGCCACAGGGCTGGCCCCACATAGTTAATTTTTTTAAGTGTTCTGTATGTGTTTAAAACCAACGCTATTTCCTATAGTCAGCTTTCTTTGTGTAAAACTTGTAAATCTTTTGCTGTTCACGTCAGAAGATTATTAATGCTGATTATTGTCTGCTTGATGCATATACTTATGAAAGAGGTATGTTAACTATCCAACTAACTATCCAACTAAAATTATGGTATATTTATTTTGGTCATTTAAACTTTTGCTTTTCATATTACAAGTCTATGTTGTTTACAAGTTCATAATTCTTAAATCTTCTTGATGGATTCTTTTTATGGATTTTGCCATAAATTCTTTTTTTTTTTTTTTGTGAGGAAGATCAGCCCTGAGCTAACTTCCATGCTAATCCTCCTCTTTTTGCTGAGGAAGATCAGCCCAGCTCTGAGCTAACATCTATTGCCAATCCTCCTCCTTTTTTGTTTTTTCCCCCAAAGCCCCAGTAGATAGTTGTATGTCATAGCTGCACATCCTTCTAGTTGCTGTATGTGGGACGCGGCCTCAGCATGGCCGGAGAAGTGGTGCGTCGGTGCACGCCCGGGATCCAAACCCGGGCCGCCAGTAGCAGAGCGCGCGCACTTAACCGCTAAGCCACGGGGCTGGCCCTGCCATAAATTCTAATTTGCTCTCATGTAAAGTTTGTTTCACTAGCCTTCATTTGATAAATCTTTTTCTGTCATTTTATTTTCATTCTTTATTGTTTGTAGCTGTCTCTTGTCAACTGCATATAGTATGAATTTTTAAAATATCTGAAACTGTCTTTTGATAAGTGTATTTAATTCATCGTTTTACTTTGTTGTTTTTACCAACCTGGAAATTATTCTTTTTTTTTCCTACCTTCAGTTGGACTAGAAGTTTTCTATATTCCTTCTTTTTCCGTTGGCTGTTTTAGAAGCTACATGTTATATTAACATTATAGTAGTGATTGCTCTTGATTTTTTAACAGCTTTATTGAGGTATAATTGACATACCATAAACTATGTATTTAAAATTTATAATCTGATGTTTTGACATTTGTGTATATTCATGAAACCATCCTCAAAATCAAGATAATAAACATACCCAGCGTCCCCCCAAATTCTTCATGTCCTCCATTGAGTTTTTCTCATTATTCTTGATGCTAGCTTCACTGTCATTCCTAGGTGTACATTAATTTTTACCATCCTGCTCCATAATGAAGTACACTGAGAACTTTGGGAACCTCTCACCCATTTTGAAGTGTTCCTACTCAGCTGTTCCCTTTCTTTCTTCTGGAATTGTTAGTTATATATTGCAAGCTCTCAATCAATTCTCTATGTATCTTCACTGCTTTCATATTGTTAATATTTATATTTATCTCTCTACTTCATTCTGGGTAAATTCCTAAAGCTTATTTGGTCTGTTAAGGATTTTAGTTCAGTAACTTTACTTTCTCATTTCCAAGGTTCTTTCTCATATCCACCTGTTTGTATATCACTTCTGCTCGTTATTGTTTCATTATTTCCTAATGTTTTAAATTGTTATAATTCATTTATATTTTGGTGAATCAAAAATACTGATTTTAAGATTTTTTTTTTTTAAAGATTTTATTTTTTCCCCCCAAAGCCCCAGTAGATAGTTGTACGTCATAGCTGCACATCCCTCTAGTTGCTGTATGTGGGACTCGGCCTCAGGATGGACGGAGCAGTGGTGCCTTGATGCGCACCCGGGATCCGAACCCGGGCCACCAGCATTGCAGAGCGCGCACTCAACCACCAAGCCACAGGGCCGGCCCTAAGATATTTTTGACTTCTCTATTATTTTAAATTTATCTGGACTGAACTGATCTTCTGATTTTGTTTTGTTGGCTTGCTTAGACTTAGATCTCTTCATGGGTTTTGGAATTATGGTTTGCAGTCATTTGGAATGGGGGCGGGTGTAGGGTTTCCATGTGCATGTGAGAATGTGTGCGTGTTCAACTAGTCCTGTCTAGCTACTTTGCAGTTGCCTCTCCCTGGTTCCCTCAAGTCCATAATCAAGTCCTATGTCAGTGATTCAGTGCTTCTCCTCCCAGTGTTACTGGGTATATCACAGATCCAGGTATTCAGCCAGAGAATGGCTTGGTTTGGATGGAGAAAATGCAAAAACAAGATCAAATCCGTGCCCTCCAAGGGTTCAGTCTGTAAGGTGAAGCAGGCAGGTGACAGTTGAATGTGAAGAGTGCTATTAGAGAAAGGTTTTTAGAGGATGCTGTGACAGATGAGCACATACATAAAATGTTCCTGGTGTCGAGCCTGAATCGTGGAAAAAGGAGTTAGGAAGATAAGGGAAGAAGGGGGAGCAGTCATGAGGAAAAGATAAAAGTCATCTGATATGAGTAAAGTGGCTATTGTGAATAGGTAACAAGATTAAGCTGAAAAGGCAGGTCCAGGCCACTCAGTTCTTTTACATTATGTTAAAGAATTTGCATTTATAATAAAATTGGAAACTTCTAAAAAATATTTTTTGAGAGTAACATTAGAGTTGCATTTTAGAAAAACCAATCTGTCACAAAGGTGATGAATGCATTGCAGGAAAAAGCAGGGAAATCTGTTAAGAAAAACTGTAAAAAACTAAAAAATTTCACAAGTTGGTTTAAATCAAAATGTTGGCAGCAGAGATAGAGAAGGGATTTTATTTGCGAGAAATTTAGGAGATAGATTGGGTGTAGAAAAACCTAGGACCATTATCAGAGTTCCAGCTTTGGAGATCAGTTATTACTTTAAAGGTGGGTGGGCAATACAGAATGTAAAGAAAAGAGGTGTAGAGTGAGGATTGGTGCAGCTGAGGAGTCCTGTGTTGGGCATTTTGTGCTGGAGATACCTGTGGAAGTCAGCAGTACTCCACACGAAGTTGGAAATATGGATATGGATTTATAGATGTGCAAGTCATCAGCCTCTAAGAGATAACAGAAGAAATTGCTGCACAAGCTGTGGCTCAGGAGAGCGAAACAGACAGGCAGACAGACAGATACAGCTCAGTGTTGGTTGTGGTGGGGGGCATACTGCTTCCCCATTCTTGGTATTTCTTTCCCTTTAGGGGAAGCTCCATGAGCACAGCACTCCTAGTGTCTCTGTCTCCTCATTCACTTTGCTCAGGTCTAGTGCACACGACTAGGTTCTCCAGTATTAATTAGAATTAAATGAGGTCATAAGGGTTGGGGTCCTAATCCAGCAGGACTGCTGTCCTGATAAGAGGAAGGAACACCAGAGATCCCCCACCCCCACCCTGTGCACAGAAAAAAGGCCATGTGAGGACACAGAGAAACAACAGCTGCAAGCCAGGAAGAGAGCCCTCACCAGACACCAACCCTGCTGCCAACTTGATCCTGGACTTTCAGCCCCTAGAACTCTAAGAAAATAAATTTCTGTGGCTTAAGCCACCCAGTCTGTGGCATTGTTACGGCAGCCCGAGCAGACTAATACACCCATAATGTAAGAAACTTTTATCACAAGAAGCTTTATTACAAGAGGAGGAAAGGGCTAAAGGAAGAGTGCTAGCCTGAGTCTTGCAGCAGGATGACTAGAATGCCTTTCAAAAATGGTCTTCCTTCCTCTAGTCTCTCCAATCACTAGATCAAATGTTCCAAAACTTTGGGTGGCATGAGTTCACCTTGGAAGATCGTCACTCGATACACCTGGGGAGGGCCCCTAGGGTCTGCATTTTTAACATGTATCCCAGGTAAAGGCACCCAGTTGTCCTGAGATGCACAGGTAAGAGGCCAGCCAACACCGATATCTGGCCCAGCGCACCTGGCGCAGGCTAGAGGAAAGTATCCTTTTCTTTGCACAAAGGCACTACTGACTCACCAAGAAGCCTGCACCCACAGGACTGTACCAACCAGAGGTGACATCTCTCCTTTTGTATACACACTGTGATTCATGGAACGCCCTTGATCCCAGCTGATTCTGATTCAGGTAATCTGGGATCACATGTTGTGCTACAAAGAGAAAAAATTTATGTGGGCTCCAAAGATTCATTAAGGAAGGAAACCTGAAAGTTTTTGTAGGAAAAATGTTAAAGATTACAGTCCAAGAGACAGGTGAAGGTTTGCTAGAACAGGCTGCAAAATTACCTTATAATGAAAGATTAGGCCAAAGAGCAAAAAATGGAGTGACGTCATGGGAGGAATTTTTCCTTTGGTCTTTACCTCAGAGACCCGAATGTTAAGGCAACTATATTTGAGAATTAACATACACTGTTGAAAATGCAGAGGAGTTGGATAAATACCATTGCTTGCTACTCATAATCTTCCATTTTTTTAAAGCTTGGAGATTGATTTGGAATTATTTCATATTTTTCTTTACTTTTTTTTTTACTGAGGAAGATTTGCCCTGAGCTAACATCCATGCCAATCTTCCTTTACTTTGTATGTGGGGTGCTGCCACAGCATGGCTGATGAGTAGTGTAGGTCTACACCTGGGATCCGAACCCATGAACTCTGGCCGCTGAAGCGGAGTGTGCCGAACTTAGCCACTATGCCACGGGGCCAGCCCCACAATCCTCCATTTTTAGGTGATTTAAATTAATCCAGAAGGAAATAACACTAATATGGGCCATCCTTTTAACAAATGAGATGGCAGATGACATTTATTTTTCGCAATATAGAGAAAGTCCTCCGAACACAGATGCCCTCTCACCATTTGAGAGAAAATAAAATTCACTATGAGAATTTCAATACAAATTTAAATAAGGAGGCTTGGTAATGGAAAGCAGACTGAGGTGTTTTGCAAGAAACAATCAGGCTGTGGTTTCAGAATTTAATGAAGGGATTACTATGCTCTTGGATGACACTGAAAAAACTGATGAAATCACAGAACGAAGTAGAATGTTCCTTCCATGACTGACAGGCCTTGCCCATGAGGACTATAGAGGGGAGATGCCCCTTTGACTATCTTATGCCTGTATTATTTGGAACTTTTGTTAAGAAGCTGTCACACCCTGCCTGCTCTGCATCTGGCCAGTGTGTCTGAAGCCAGTGTTCCATGAAGTTCTTTATCCTGCCTCAGCCAGAGCCAACAGAGCTGCTTGCTCCACCAAAAAGCTGTCACTGCTTCCTTTGTGTGTGGCTTGACCTAGAGACTCAAGGGCTTTTCCCTGGCATGTACTGCAATGTGGGTGTTGAGTGCTCCCATGTATGTAAAGCTCCTTCCACACTCATCACAGGAAAAAGGCCTCTCCCCTCTGTGATGGTGCAGATGGGTCTTCAGACTTCTCTTCTGGAGGAAGCCTTTGCCACACTCAGGACACCTGAAGGGCTTCTCTCCACTGTGTGTGTGCAAGTGGACCTTCAAACTGCCCCTTATGCAGTAGCTCTTGTCACACTCTGGACATTGGAAGGGCTTCTCACCACTATGAACTCGAATGTGTTCTGTGAGCCTGTACTGCTGAGTGAAACTTTTGCCACACTTAACACAAGAGAATGGCTTTTTGCCACTGTGCTGGAGCAGGTGGCTTTTCAAATTTCCTTTGAGACGGAAACTTTTATTGCACTCAGGACACTGGAAGGGTTTCTCTCCACTGTGGATTCTCATATGTTCAGTGAGCTGAGACTGCTGAGCATAGGTCTTACTGCACTCACTACACTCGAAGGGCTTCTCGCCCCTGTGTATCCGCTGATGGAACTTCATGGAGGCCTTCCAGAAGAAGCTCTTGTCACACTCAGGACACTGGAAAGGCTCCTCCCCACCATGAAGTCGCATGTGTTCAGTGAGGTGTGAATGTCGGCTGAAGCTCCGGCTGCACTCTGCGCAGGAGAATGGCTTTTCTTTGATGTGGACCTTGAGGTGCTCCGTGAGCCTCGATTGCCGAGGAAAGGTCTTTTTGCACTCGCCACAGGAGAATTCCTTTTGCCTGCTGTGGACTCTGCTATGGCGAGCGAGCTTAGAGGGACGGGTAAACCTCTTGCCACACTCCCCACAGGAGAAGGGCTTCTCCTCGCTATGTAAACGCTGGTGGGCCTTCATGGCATTTTTCCAAGAGAAGCTCCTATCACACTCTGGACACTGGAAGGGCTTCTTTCCACTGTGCTGAAACAGATGGGCTTTTAGGCTTCTCTTTAGGCGGAAATTTTTATTACACTCAGGACACTGGAAGGGCTTTTCTCCCGTATGAACTCTGACATGTTCAGTGAGTTTAGTCTTGTGGGTGAATTTCCTATCACATTTATCACAAGAAAACGGCTTCTCTCCACTGTGTATCCTCTGGTGGGCCTTCAGGGCAGGCTTCCGGGAAAAGCTCCTGCCACACTCTGGACAATGGAAGGGCTTCTTCCCACTGTGCTGACAAAGATGGGCCTTCAAACTTCTCTGCAGGCGGAAGCTTCTCTCGCACTCTTGACACTGGAAAGGCTCCTCCCCAGTGTGTACCCTGAAGTGCTCAGTGAGCTTGCACTGCTGGATGAAACCCTTGCCACACTCCTTATAGGACAATGGTCTCTCCCCTTTGTGCAAACACAGATGCTTCTGCAAAGTGGCTTTATACCGGAAGGTCTTGTCACATTCGGGGCACTGGAAGGGCTGCTGCCCCGTGTGAACCACCTGGTGAGTGAGCAGGCTGCACTTCAGAGAGTAGCTCTTCTCGCACTTACCGCACTGGAAACGCTTCCTCTTACACAGGATCGTCCGGTTCCACCTGAGTCTAGAGTGCCCTCTGGATTGGTTTTTGTACTTTGGATATTTACAGGGCTGGCTCTTGGAGTGGTTCCTTTTGTGCTTTACCAAGTCTCTCTTTACCTGGAAGACCTTCCTACAGACAAAGCAAGAATAAAGTCTTGGCCTTGGTGGAAGTTCCAAGTGACCTGGGGTACCCATCGACTCATGCCATGGATTGTTCTTGTCCTGATTAGATGCTGTGATGTCGAGGTTTTTATTTAGAATCTCTGTTTCTTGGAGACTTGGATGTTGTAAGGCAGCTCTTTGATTTGATAAAAGCTTTCTTTCCTCCCCTGATAAAGCAGCACATGATCCCTGCTTCTGGAGACCATTTAAATGGCATTCCTCATCTTTTGCCCTGAGAGTTCCTTGGTCACCTAGAGAGAAAAAAAGAAGACCCACCCTCATCAGTGATGTGTCTGCACTATGGTGGGGTTCAAGGACCATCTTCATGTCACTAACAATGTGGGAAAGAGAATCCCATTGATCTCGATGACTGTGAATCTGCCAGCCACAAGTAAATTATATTTAAGTTTAACTTTGATATGCAAATCCTTTCATCATGTGTTAAGAAATGGCTTAGCATGAAAAAAATGGCAGGCAAATACATCTTGTGAACCTATAGATGACCCTAAGAGGGTAGCAGAAGTTGGAAGAAAAGAAAAACGAATTACTCTGAGAAGCTGACTGTTCCATTGTATTTCCTTAAATCTGTGAAATGATTAGCACAATATTTAAGTAGAAGCCTTCAGGTCATATTCTTGCACTCTTCTACCAAGGATTTCAGGAAAAGTTCTCTGGAAGAAATGCTAATAGGGAGTATCTTTCTTAGGAATGTCAAAATGGCGATTTACTGAATTTACAAAGAACACTGTGGAAATAATTCCCTTTTCCAAGGAACTCCGAATTATAAGAAAGATATTGATATAACCATAGTCACTGCTGTTCCCAAAGTAAAAGCATGATGACAGAAAACAGAGGGAGCTGAGCTAGCGCCTTATCCTCACCCACTATATCTGGAGAGGACAATTCTGGATGCTCACCTGAGCCACTGTACTTCAGAACGGCTTTTTCTCTCACATCCCATTGAACTGAATCACAGGGCTCTCCTTATTTTAATTTCTTAACATGAGGGGAGGCCTCACCTCTGAGGGAGGGTGGGAACTGCCCTTAGAGAAGCTGTGTGGTCATCTTAACAATAACACAGGTTATGCGTCCCAGTGGATGAAGTCATTTGGTAAGTTAGCACTCCACAGCTTTTGCCTGGATTGTGACAAAAGCATACTTACCTGTCTCCTTAATTTCTATTTCTCATCACTTACTATTTTTTTTTTTTGTGAGGAAGATCAGCCCTGAGCTAACATCCATGCTAATCCTCCTCTTTTTGCTGAGGAAGACAGGCTCTGAGCTAACATCTATTGCCAATCCTCCTCCTTTTTCTTTTCCCCAAAGCCCCAGTAGATAGTTGTATGTCATAGCTGCACATCCTTCTAGTTGCTGTATGTGGGATGCGGCCTCAGCATGGCCGGAGAAGCAGTGCGTCGGTGCGTGCCCGGGATCTGAACCCGGGCCGCCAGCAGCGGAGCGCGCGCACTTAACCACTAAGCCACGGGGCCAGCCCTCATCACTTACTATTTACCTCAGGCAGAGGAACAGGTGTGATTATTGGGTGAGTACCACCTGGTATGAAGGGAACACTTGTTTTTCAGGATAGCCACCAAAGTTGTTCATTCTTTGGTACTCAACAACCTTTCCAGGCTCCTCCGTTTCTATAGGATGAAGTCAAACTTTCACCTTGGCATTCCTGGCCCCAGATAATCTGATACTAATTTATGCCCCCCCTTCTCCCACTGTGTCCCAAGAATCCCATTCAGCTGTATGCAGCGTCTTCCATTTTCTAAATATGACAGGCTTGTTCCCACCTCTGAGCCTCAGCTCATATATGGCCCCTGCTGAATCTTCTTTGCCTAACCACATCTGCCCATTCTTCGCTATTTAAATCCTAGTTCCTTTAGAAGTCCTCCTGGGATACTGCTGTCTCTCGTCCATTCTTTCTTCTCTAAATCCTTTTGGCACTTACTACCACTGCCACTTATTATTTTATTAAATTGTATGCAGTCTTATTTTATAGTTGACTAATCCAATAGTTCAATATAAATGACTAACTTAACTGCCATGTCAATTGGTCAGTAAGACAACAAACTCCTGGAGTGGAAGGATTGTTTACATATATATATATATATATCCCTTTAACCTAAGTAATACCTAACATAGTCCTATGAACATGGTAGGGACTCAATACTGGTTAGATGAATGAATTAATAGAAAGTGGCAATGAAACAAAGCCCTTGGGAATTCTTTTATCCTCTTGATGGAGCTACCCATGCATTCCCTGTTTTCAAATCCTTTCTTCTTCAGGGGAGTCATTTGACTCCCAGGGACTTAAGAGATCTGCATTTAGTAAAGCATTAACATTCTCTAAAAAATGACATATTCCATCTATCCAACGAACCTGAAATCAACAATCCAAAGAGGCTTATGCACCCCTATGTTCATTGCAGCATTATTTGCTATAGCCAAGAAGTGGAAGCAACCCAAGTGTCCCTCGACTGATGATTGGATAAAGAAGATGTGGTATATATATACAATGGGATACTACTCAGCCATAAAAAAAGACAAAATCGTCCCATTTGCAACAACATGGATGGACCTGGAGAGTATTATGTTAAGTGATATAAGCCAGAGAGAGAAAGACAAACACCGCATGATTTCACTCATATGTGGAATATAAACCAACACATGGACAGAGAGAACTGTGTGGTGGTTACCAGGGGCAAGGGGGTTGGGGGATGGGCACAAGGGGTGAAGGGAGGCATGTATATGGTGACTGACAAACAATAACGTACAACCAAAATTTTACAATGTTATAAACTATTAAGACATCAATTAAAAAAAATAACATTCTTTTAAATATTTAAAGTGTTAAGATGTTTCAAATATATTCCTTATGCTACAAGGAATTTAAAAAGTAATCTTTCAAAAGGAATAAAAAAAATCCCAAGTTCTAAAAATCTGTACAATAAAAAAATATATTGTACAAAATTGGAAGGTTTTTCATTTCTCTATACTGTACTCAAATGGACATGATGATATGATGGGGACGGTGGTTTTTCCTCAGGACTTGACAGAGACTTTACTTGCTCTCTTACAGTCAATTCTCATCTTCTTCCGGGTTATAATTTTTTTGTTTTTAATGAAGTATACACAACTTCCCTCTTTATAAAAGTAATACATTCTTATATTTGCTACCAACTTGAGTAAAAAAATATAACATTCTACATCAAAACAATGTTTCTTATTCACTAGGTCCTGCTAACTATCCAGAAAGATTCAGGAAACAAAGCTAGGAAAATGAAATGAATCATGACCCTAAATCCATTGTACTCACCAACACACGGCGACTTTCCAGTATTCTTCAAGTCCAACTGCTCATCAGTAGAAGGGCTAAGTGTCATTCTTGTTTTCTCTAAGCGTCCCTGGTCTCTGGTTAATAGCATTCTCCCTTGTTCCATCCAGGTGATCAGATCTGGCTTGGAAAAAACACAGCCTGCAACGAGAGTCCGCAAAGCCTCAGTATAGGTTTCCTGAGTACTTGGCTAAAAACAATTTTCACAGTTGACTTTGTCCTGGAGACATGACATCCAAGTTGCAAATCAAATGCAAATCAAAACTACAATGAGAAATCACCTCACACCCATCAGAATAGCTATTATTAAAAAGACAAGAAATAACAAGTATTGGAGAAGATGTGGAGAAAAGGGAACCCTCGTACACTGCTGGTGGAAATGTAAATTGGTGCAGCTACTATGGAAAACAGTATGGAGATGCCTCAAAAAATTAAAAATAGAAATAACATGATCCAGCTATTCTACTTCTGGATATTTATCCAAAGAACACAAAAACACTAATTCAAAAAGATATATGCATCCCTATGTTCACTGCAGCATTATTCACAATAGGCAAGACTTGGAAGCAACCTAAGTGTCCATCGATGGATGAATGGATAATGAAGATGTGGTATATGTATACAATGGAATACTATTCAGCCATAAAAAAAGACGAAATCTTGCTATTTGCAACAACATGGATGGAGCTTGAGGGTATATATGCTAAGGGAAATAAGACAGACAGAGAAAGTCAAATACTATATGATTTCACTAACATGTGGAAGATAAACAAACAAACGCATAGATATGGAGACCAGATTGGTGGTTACCAGAGGGGAAGGGGTGGGGGAAGGGCAAAAGAGGTAAAGGGGACATTTGTACAGTGATGGATGGCAACTAGATTTTTGGTGGTGAACACAATGCAGTCTATACAGAAGTCGAAATATAATGAGGTACACCTGAAATTTACATAATGTTATAAACTAATGTGACCTCAATAAAAAATAAATTTAAGAAAGGGAAACCTCTGAAATTGCATGAATGACAATAAAGTACAAACTAATCAGCCTGTTTAGCTTGAATGTTCTCTGCAATATTTCACAAATTTAAATGAAACAGAGAAGTTAAGGATGATGAGGATTTTAAAAAGGCTGACAGATCCAGGCAGAAAGTATTCAAAAATGATCATTATGAGAATAATGTGAGTAGAATAAAAAGCAAAATCACAGGGGGTCAAGGAGGGAACCTAGATGAATAAACTGTTCTGATTAGACTCCATACATCCAAGGAAACTAACTACTGAGGTGCTGACATTCTCAATCAACACAGTGAAGGAAACGGGAGGTTGTTAAATGACAGTGATGATGAAGACGTAGAGAGTGATGTGCCTAAGGACATAAGCCTCAAGGGAAGACAGGCTGTTATAAAGCAGTGGAGGGGTTTTACATGATGTAGCAGATACCCTGCAGTGGTGTCACCTACAGCTCAGCCCTCGCATCAGTGTTTCTCAAAGTAAACTGTGTACCAACAGCATTAGCAGCACCTGAAGTGCTTGTTAAAATGTAGATTCCTGGGCCTGAGCCTGGACCTGCTAAATCCTGGTCTCTGGAGCTAGGATCTGGACGTCCTATAAAGAAAATACTTTGAAAATAATACTGTTACTTTTTAAAATTTGAGAAAATCAGACTGGATTTTGTAAGCTCAAGGATGCTAAATGCAACACTGGATCAGCCGAGGGCTCTAGTTTTTCCTTCCCTAATGGCCTCAGTCTCCTAGCTTGATCTCTAAATGTTGGGGTCTCCTGGGGCTCTGTCCCATCTACATATTCTCCCTAGGTGATCCCAACCAGCCCTCTGGTTTCAAATACCATCTATATAATGACGCCCAAATTTGTGAATCCAGTCCTGATCTTCACTTGGAATTCCAGTCTTGCACACCCAATTATCTACTTTAATTCCATATAAATGTCTAATAAGCATCTCAAACTTAATGTGGCCAAAACCTGCTCTCTCCCAAGCCTTCCTCATGTCAGTGAATAAAGCCACTGCCGTCAAGATACTCAAGCCAAAAATCTAGGAGTTGACTCTTTTTCACCCTTAGACTCCAAGTCCAATCCACCAGGAAAATCTGGGATGCTACCTCCAAACACATCTGGAGACCACCTACCTCTCTCTATCTTTATTACCTAGCTGGTTCAGCTGCCACAGAGTCTCACCAGCACTACCAAGGCTCTTGGCTGGTCTCTCTTTCAATGCTATGTACTCCAATTTGTTCTCCACATAGTAACCCAAGTAATCGTTTAAAAAAAAAAAACGGTATTGGGGCACAGCAGTTAGGTTTGCGCGCTCCGCTTCAGTGGCCCGGGGTTTGCCAGTTCGGATCCTGGGCGCAGACCCACTCACCACTCATCAAGCCGTGCTAAGGCAGCGTCCCACATAGAGCAACTAGAAGGATGTACAACTATGACATACAACTATCTACTGGGGCCTTGGGGAGAAAAAAGGAAAAAAGGAGGGAGACTGGCGACAGATGTTAGCTCAGGGCCAATCTTCCTCAAAAAAAAAAAATGCAGAACACAGTTTGCGTTAAAAAAAAAAAACGGTATCATATTACTTCCGTTTAAATCCCTCCATCATCTTCCCTTTGTAAATCCAACTCTGTATGTACGTCGGCCTAGCGGCCCTTCCTGATTTGGCACGGTTGACCTCTCTGTCCTCCTCTCCCATCAACTCTGGCTCTAACCCTCTATGCACGTGCTACAATAGCTCACTGTGGTTCCCACAACACATGGAGCTCATCTCTTCCTCCCTTTGGGCCTTTGCACTAGTTTTTCCTCTGCTTAGAATTCTCTTCCCCCTGATTTCACACGGTTGACTCCTTGTCATTCATATCTCAGAGTAAGTTATAAACCCCAAAAAAGAGAGAGAAGCCTTCAGGTTATACTGAGATCACCTATTAAATCAACAGTAGAAATGGTTTTAATGATACAAGACTGAGTTAGAGCAAGCTGGATAAGCAGCAAGGCATAATCTCCCCAAACTTCTCTTTAATGAGTATTTCCCTGGAGACACTAAATGTCCCATCCCACTGCTCTCTCCTCTCTCCCTCCACCACGGAACTTTCTTCCCTGTTGTATCCACATTGCGTGCTGTGTTGTGTCCTCAGCTTATTCCAATGTAATAACTGTGATCCTGTCACGAGAGCCATAGTTCTTATGAGAATGGAAAAATTCATCTTATTCAGGCAACAAAGGCAGGCACTAAAGTATCAATTAAAGAAACAAAAGAACACATTTAAAAAAAGAAAGGCAATTAGGTTATTTAGTAATTCTAACTGTGGGAGAAATGAGGGAAGGTTGAAGGGGGGGGAGACAAGAGAATTGAGAGAATTAGTAAGACTGAAGGACACAGATACCACTGGATAAAAAGGGAAGAGTTAAATATTCCCAGGCCATTACAGGAAGTTAAGGAGACATTCTGAAGGTAAATTGGGCACGGTATCACATTCAACCAGCCAATAGCTGATAAAGGGAGGAGAGCCTATTAGTATTAGGTTGGTTCCCAAAAAGTGATTCCTTAGAAGCCCATCTTACCCAGGGAATCCAGGGTCTCATAATTGGTCTTCATCACTTGCTGATACATTTCCTTCTGCCACTTCTTCAGGATCTCCCACTCTTGTTCCAAAAAATATATGGCCACATCGTCAAATGTCATGGTTACCTGGAATCACAAACAGTACATACATACATTTTCACTTTAAGGTTACCTTGTTTTTCGATGTCCATGTCTTCAAGAGACAGGAAGAAATGATATTATTTCTGGATGGTGCCATGAACAACATAATAAAACTATCACAGATGTCTACTGGAACTAAGTAAAGTAAAGGAACCAATAGCAGGCCTTTGAGCAGATGCACCATCTAAAGGGGAGATCCTTTACTTATCAGCAACAATTATTGCTATGTAAGACTGGGCCAATGTTGCTGGATGTGTCCATTTTTTAAAATACTTTTTATTCTGAAATAATTACAGATTCACAGGAAACTGCAAGGATAGTAGGGGTAGGTCCCCTGTACCCTTCATCCAGTTGACCCCAGTGGCCATATCATACATTGTTATAGTACAATATCAAAACCACAAAATTGACATTGGTACGATGTGTGTATAATTCTGTGATTTCATCACATGTACTGATTCACGTAATCACCACCAATCAAGAAACAAAACTATTCCACCACCAGAGATCTCCCTTACATACCCACTAATCTATTATCCATCTCTATACTTTTGTGATTTCAAGAATGTTATAAAAATGAAGTCATATAGTATGCCACCTTTGAGATTGACTTTTTTCAGTCAGCGTGATGCTTTTGAGATCCATCCAAGTTGTGTTTATCAAGACTTCATTTCTACTTATTGCTGAGTAGTATTTAATGGCATGGATGTACCACAGTTTGGTTGGTTAACCATTCACCTATTGAAGAATATTTTGGTTGTTTCTAGTTTTTGACTATTACCAAAAAAGCTGCTATGAACAATCATGCACAGGCTTTTGGGTGGACATACATTTTAATTTTCCTGGGATCAATGCCCAGGACTGCAACTGCTGGGTCGTATAGGAAATATATATTTAGTTTTTTAACCAACTCTTTTCCAGAGTGGCTGAACCCTTTTACATTCCTACCAGCAATATATGAGATCCAGTTTCTTAGCATAACCAGCATTTGGTAATGTTGCTATTTTTTATTTTAACTGTTCTAATAGATGTACAGTGATATCTCATTGTGGTTTTAGTTTGCATTTCACTAATGAATAATGATGTCGAGCATCTTTTCATGGGCTTATTTCCCATCCATAAATCCTCTTTGGTGAAATGTCTCTTTATGTCTTTTGCCCATTTTCTAATTGGACTGTTTGTTTTTTTTACAGTTGAGTTTTGAGAGTTCTTTATATATTCTAGATATAAGTCCTTTGTCAGATATGTAGTTTGCAAATATTTTCCCCCGTCCGTAGCTTGTCTTTTCACCATCCTCACGGGATCATTCCCAGGGCAAGAGGTGTTAATTTTGATGACATCAATTTATCAATTTTTTTCTTTTATAGAGTGTGCTTTCGGTGCCACATCTAAGAACTTTTCACCAAGCCCTAGGTCCCAAAGATTTTCTCATATCATCTTCTATAGGTTGTATAGCTTAACGTTTTACATTTGAATGTGACAGTTTTTAAAGAAAAACTGGAAACATTCACATTTTGTATGAACTCTCATGATTTTTATATCTTGGCAACTAAAATTCACAATTTTAACAAGGGATGGTCAAAAAAAAAAAAAGTCACCTCAGCAAGCCATGATTGGCTCATGGACCATTAATCTACAAATTCTGGTATGGACTGACGAACCAGGGCTGCTCTTCCTGGAGGTTCCAAGGACAGATCCACTGTGACAATAGGGAATGAAGACAACATATATAATTTAACTTTTGAAAACTCCATTTTCACTCCTGTCAGATTCTGTGCTACAAATGTGGAAGGGAGCCTACCAAGAAAAGTGCTGGACATCTTGCAAGACAGCTAGGGCTCTTCCCAAGTGTATAAAAAACCGTTGGTCACAAATACTACAAAGTAAATTCTCCCAATAAAGGAATCTAGCAGACGTGACACCCAGGGCCACCTGACAGGATGCTGGAGAGAAAAGCTGCAGAGATAAAATTCCATCATGAAAGCTACTTCCAACCCCCAAGCTGAAGTATCAGATGTTATAACAAACAAGTTTAAACTTGGTGTTGTTTTTCATAAGGTGGACTTTCAAAGACATTCCTCTACCATTTTCTTGCCCCTCACTCATGCGCTTTCCACCTACAAGACTCTTCTGTGAGCATGCTCACAATTAGTACTGAACTGCTCCAGTGAAAAGGAAAATCAACCAGAAAATGCTGATTTCTCTTTGCCTATCCCAAATAACACAATAGCCAAGAAGTTGTCATCACTTAAGTTTTTTCTCTGGACTCAAATTTATAGCCAAAGAACTACCCCAAACTACTACCAACTTTTACAGAATAAAGAGGGATATTCCAGGAGGTTTCCGACCGCTCACAAAAGAGCAAAAAAAGGAAGTCTGGCTAAAAAGACACAGCTTGAAGAAATCTGAACAGAATTAGTACCTGCCAAGGGATGTTGGGGAGGGGTGTCAGAAGCAGAAGGAAGAAAATGCATTACATTAGTAAGATTATCAGATATGAAATCTCAGTGGGAGTACAAGGAAAACTTGCATACTTATGCAAGGTATACATAACTGAATGTACAGAGTTTCCTGGGTTAAGCTCAAGATATGCTTTTCACACTCGAAAACCAGTATTCGAATTTTCCATTAAAACACTAGAGTACTCGCGGTAAATCTGACTTAGGATAAACAGCCAACTGGTTTCAAATTTTCTGTCATTTCCTAGATGGAGCAGTCTCCAGTTTCTCATTTCCAGTCTTCCTTCCCCCAACTCTTCCTCATCTGCTCCTCAAGAGCGCCTCTGGGGCTGCATCCACAGCAGAGCACAGCACGCGAGCCCACGACAAGCCACGTCGCCCCAGAGCCCGACACAGAGCAGGAACAGCGGCTGACCGAACGGACGCCGGCCGAGACCCGGATCCCTGCACGCGGCCTTTCTCCCAGCCCAACTGCGGAGCAACTCGAGCACCAACACCCGCCTTCCCGGCTCGGACTCAGTCCAGGGTCACAGACAGTCGTCCCGGGCCCCCACCGCCTCACTCCCTGAAAAGGGACCCCACTCCAGACCGCGACAGAGACGAGTCTCGGCAGGGCCCGCAGCCTCTACGGCCCCTCTTACCGGAGCCTGCTGGGCCATGGCCCTTCGCGGTCCCGCCCGGCACGGGCCCGGCGACCCCTCCCCCGCCGCAAGGCCTGCCGCTCCGACTCCCGGGCCCAGCGCGGGCGCGGTGCACGCTGGGACTCCGCCGCCACAGCGCCCCCTGCGGCCGGGAGGAGCGGGCGCCGCCCGCGGGAGCCGTCTGCGCTGTGGGTGCAGGAGGAGGTCCCGAGCCCCCCCGCCGCCTGCCAGGGACGGATCCTCGCACTCTTTTGGGGTCTCCAAAGGAAGGAGACGGAGAGTGGAAATGGAGAGTCAGCTGGAAGTGCATGGGGAGGAGACACGCTTTTCAATGGGATTGAGAGGGAGAGGGAGACGGAGAGAGGGAGTGCGGGGTTTGGTTCCTTCCCAATGCTGACCCCAGTCAACGACTAGATTCAAGGGGTCATCTGTGAGGTGAACCCGGGAATCAAGTGTGGGAGGTGAGACTTGATTGTCTCATTGTCAAAACCATTAATCATCCACCAAGTCCTGTCCCTCAGCCTCAGGGCACTTCTGGTTTACCCGGGACACAGGCCAAGCTGATATTTACTGTAGGTTTTTGTAGATACCTCTCATCAGGTTGAGGGAGTTTCCTTCTATTGCTAGTTTGCTGAGAGTTTTTACTGTGAGTGGATGTTTTGTTTTGTCAAATGCTTTTTCTGCATCAATTTATATTATGTGGTTTTTCTCCTTAGGCAATTAATATGGTTGATTAGATGGATTGATTTCTGAATATTGAACCAGCCTTGCATTCCGGCCATAAAGCTCATAGTAAAGAACTGTGTAGAGTCTGAAATTTTACCTATCTTACAAGGTAACAAGTTAGCCTGCCATAGTTTCATAGATGTTGGCAAAAGACACACGACTCATGGGTCATTGGCAGCACGAGCTTTATATTCACATCAATCCATTGCCCATAAGTTCCATGGAAGTGATATGGGGTGGCCCAGATGGCTGCTGCACACAGGATGGTTTCATGTCACACACAAGTGAAGAACCCAAACCTAGGAACTCCGACTCTTACAACAGGGCTGCTAGCAAACTTGCTCAACTATTCTGATACTCTTTTATTTTGTGTTTAGATCATTTCCACTTAATGTAATGATTGATATGTTTTGATTTAGATCTATCATTTTATTATTAGTTTTCTGCTTTTCCTTTCTCTTTTTCATTTCTCTATTTTCCCTTCTGGGTTATTTGAAGCTATTTTAGTATTTTATTTTAATTTATTTATTATAATTTTTACTATATCTCTATATTTTCTGGTTGCTTTAGAGACTACTAAATACATGTTTAATTTTTTTTCTACTTTTTAACAAAGCAGCTTTATTGGGATATAATTACTATACCATACAATTCCCCCCTTTAAAGTGTACAATTCAATGGCTTTTAGTATATTCACAGCTCCTTTGTTTTTCTCTTTTTTAATTAATAGACTTTATTTTTTTGAGCAGTTTTAGATTTACAGAAAAAATGAGTAGTAAGTACAGAGAGTTCTCATGACTCCCTCACCTTCCCCCAACTTCCATATTACTGGCATTTGGCATTAGTGTGGTACATTTGTTACAATTGATGAGCCAATATTCATACATTAATATTAACCAAAGTCCATAGTTTACATTGGGGTTTGCTCTTTGTGTTGTATATTTTTTGAGTTTTGACAAATGTATAATAGCATGTATTCACCACTACAGTAGATAAAGATATAAAGACAATGGGACTGTTGGGTAGAAAGAATAAGATCAAACCACCTGTGATAGAGACAATCCTGTGTTCACTCCATTGTCCCTCTTCCTGGGCACACATGAAGACTATATTCCCTGGCACTTTTGCAGCTAATTTAGGGACATGTTACCAAGTCTGGCCAGTGAAATACGGATATGGAAATGGTATGGGCAAATCCCATATGATCCTTAAGCCCCCTCTTCACCTCTAAGGAGACTTGGTTGACCACTTATTGAAATTGGCAATCGGAAGATGGAAGGAGCCTGGATCCCTGAGTCACTGAGTGGAGGAGAGCCACCCAGCCCAAAATAGGCTATAGCATGAGCAGGAGATAAACTTTGTGTTAGACCTTTGAGATTTTAGGGTTGTTACAGCAGCTAGGTTTAATTACCTTAAATAGTACACCAAGAGTCAGTTTGTTACACACAGGAAACACAGTTTAGCACTAAATAAAAGCACCCCTTCTTATGGAGATAAGCAGGAGGGTTGCCTAGAGGCAAGAGTAAGATCTCGCTCCAGATGTAATTTGGAGTTCAAGTTAGAACAATCTCAAGACTCCAAAGTTTCACTCTATAAAGCATGGTCATCATCATTTTCGTTTTCATTACAAATACCTACATCTAGATTCTCATTATTCAGGAAGGAAACCTGAATTCTCAACAATTGCTAAAATTTTAAAATACCTCCCAAATTTTATAAAGCTGATCAGATTAACTGTTTTAGCTATCCTATCAAATAGAAGCCTTTTTATTTGGGATGCAGCATTCAAAATAAGCAATTTTCTGTTCTCTTCCTGATCCTTTGGTCCAAAAGTAGCATAATTCTTAGAGAGAGAGCTGTGGGACCCTTTCATTCAGAACAAGTAGATGTGATGGAATTAGATCTCAGTGTGATTTGAACCACCTGATGTCAGGGGCTTCTGTGGTTTTCAATTTATGGAAGGCTTGGAGAGCAATGCCAGGTTTTATGGGTGCCTCTGAGATACCCAGGAGAAAGACCTCAATAGTCCTGCCAACCTAGATTGGGCCAGCCATTTGTGGTTATCAGTACTCACTTCTGGATGTCTACAATGGCTGAGAGTCAGGAGTTGGTCAGTTCCTCAAATGTTATTTAAGGACATATGAGAGTGGCTCAGCTCAATCCATTCACATAAATTGTCTATCCTTCTGCCCTTGGAAGTTTCTTTCTATTTTCTATTTTTCTTCCTCAATACATCTAATAAATCCTACAATACCTCTATATTGCCATATTTTTCATATCAACCACATGATTTCATTCAGGTCATTTCTCCTTATTTTTTTTCCTGCTGACGTAATCACTACAATCTTTCTTTTCTCTCTTTTGAGATTTTGCTTTCAAAGTTTTTGGTTATTAAATTACTTATGTCTCTCCACTCCAGCACTTGGGGAAAAGTGCTATTCTATTATCAGAATTTGAAATACCTCTGGAGACCCCCAATCTTCACTTTTTATTGATTGGTTTTCTTGACTGATAATTTTCCAAATCTAAGATCTTACTCATTGTATGGTGTCTAGGTTTTCAGGTACCTGATCTTGAGATCCAATATTTAGCTAGTGGGGGGAAAAGGAATATGGAATTAGTCATTAAGACAATAAATAACTAGAGAAAATGATATTCAGTTAGTGAAGTTCCTTCTTTAAAGTTTGAAATTTAAACAGTATAGACAGAGGTACTGGGAAATTGCAGTTAGGGTATTTGCTATAATGTAAAGGAATTGTTCAATTTTGGACAACAACGGACCAGTATGGTCGTTCGGCACGGGGTGCAGAAGTGTATCAGTAGACTAGGTAGTAAGTACCACAGCAATGAAGACTTGGACCTAAGCTAGCATAAATATTTCCCTATCCATTCCTAGATAAAGGTTTTGCCACTATGTTACTGAGAACATAAACAATAATTAATTATATGTCATTTGTGGTTGTTTAAAAAACTATTCATTATTAATTCTAAAATCTCTGTTTAGTAATTCTCAATTAATAATTTTGCATGGTTTTAAAAAATATCCCAAGTTTGAAAATCAAGTTAAAAAGGCGATGACCTTGAACTGAACGCTCTATAATTTTTCAGAGTGGCTGTCCCATTTCACATTCCCAACAACAACGTATGTATGAGCCAGATTCTCCACATCCTCATCAGAATTTGGTGTGGTCACTATTATTTATTTTAGCCATTTCAATATGTGTGTAGTGCTATCTCATTGTGGTTTGAATTTGCATTTCCCTAATGGCTAGCGATGTTGAACATCTTTTCAAATCCTTATTTTCCATCTGTGTCTTCTCCTCAGTGAAATGGCTCTTCATGTCTTTTTCCCATTTCTAATTGGATTGTTTGTTTTTTAATGATGAGTCTTGAGATTTCTTCCTTTCCAGTCTGATATTTACTGTCATTACTTTGGCACAAAGGACAAGTATGTGCTAGGTTAAGAAATCTGCCCAAATCTGTATGGTTCTCTTTTTTGAATCCTGATGTCATACATATAAAGAATGTCATGCACTCACTGGGCTTCCCATGTTGCTTCTATGACCGGGATCACCTCCTTCCTCTACTAAAAGGGGACATTGTAACATTCTTATTTAGAAGACACTGCACAATAGTGAAAGGTGTGGAAAAATAAACTCTAAACTATTAACATTAGTTACTAAAGAAAAAGGAGTAACTGGAGAAAGGAAGGAGATTGTTAATATGTCTTGTATACAAATCTGTTTTCTTCAGTTAAAAGAAGCATGCAAGATTTTTGAAATTAAAAAATCCAAAGAAAAAGAACTGCACAAGGACCTATATAAAATTCTAACTGTAGAAAATTCAAAACTCTGTTCCAGAACTGATTGACTTGTGAAGTTATTTACAATGTAAGAGTGTAACGTCTCCCATCTTGTTGCCAACATTATTTTTTCATTTGTTCTCGATACGTGATATGTAGTCCTATCTTAATTTTGTTTTAAGTTGCATTTATTTAATTACTGTTGAGGTTATAGACTTTTTAAAATAGTATTTATTTATTTATTTATTTGTGAGGAAGATCAGCCCTGAGCTAACATCCATGCCGATCCTCCTGTTTTTGCTGAAGACCGGCCCTGAGCTAACATCTATTGCCAATCCTTCTCCTTTTTTTACTCCCCCCTTTCTTCCCAAAGCCCCAGTAGATAGTTGTACATCATAGTTGCACATCCTTCTAGTTGCTTTATGTGGGACACCGCCTCAGCATGGCCTGATAAGTGGTGTGTCGGTGCGCGCCTGGGATCCAAACCTGGGCTGCCAGTAGCCGAGCGCGCGCACTTAACCGCTAAGCCACGGGGCTGGCCCCTAGACTTTTAAATTGAAAAATTTATTCATATAATTGTAGATTCATATGCAGTTATAAGAAATAATAAAGAGAGGTCCCATGTTTTACTTGTACTCTTCTGTGTGTCTGTGTATTCAG